AAAAAAAAAAAAAAAAACACAACTGTTCTGTCTGCCAACAAAGAGAGGCAGTGACTGCAGGTGGCCCTGGGGCACATTCTCCAGCGTCTGGGAAATGAAGTTGAGTGCTATTACTTTCTTTCTCTTTCTTTCTTTCTTTCTTTCTTTCTTTCTTTCTTTCTTTCTTTCTTTCTTTCTTTCTTTCTTCCTTTCTTTCTTCTTTCTTTTTTAAGATTTTATTTATTTATTTGACAGAGAGACACAGCGAGAGAGGGAACACAAGCAGGGGGAGCTGGAGAGGAAGAAGCAGACTCCCCGCTGAGCAAGGAGTGTGACACAGGCTCGATCCCAGGACCCTGGGATCATGACCTGAGCTGAAGGCAGATGCCCAACGACTGAGCCACCCAGGCCCTCCATGCTATTACTTTCTTAAACAAGCAAACAAACTCTAAGCATGTACATGTATCTGCATCAGAATTACTAGTATTTCAACTTAAAAAAAATCTATTTCCACAGATACTCGATGCATGTGGAAGCCGCAGTCAGGTGCCACAAAACTGTGTCTTTTCAAATCTTGGCTTCACAGACCATAAAAGAACTTGCCCTTTGCGATGCCGTGCTACGTACAAAAGATGGGACAACTGGACATGTAAAAATAAACATTTTAAGTTTAATAGATTCACTAGAAATTGTATCTGTCACAAAGTGTACCATTTTGATATTGATATTTTTCCCCAGGACACACATTTTGAATGGGCCGAAATGAACAGGTCAAGCTGAAAATGAGAGGTAAGGGAGTTTGTGTGAAGTGAAGAGAGAGAGAGTAAGCATGACCCTGCTGACCCTTTCTGACCCTCCAGAAAGGGAGGGTTGAAACCAACGTGGCTGGTTCTGTGTCTGGAACGGAAGAGAATATGAGGGAACCTGGAGGGTGCCGGCTACAGAGAAAGGGTAATAATGGGTAATTGCAAGAGGAGGAGTCTGCCTGAAATCTTTGTTCTCTTTCATGAAATGTTAGAAAGGATTGTCCAGGATATTAACTCTCATCAGGAATTTGTTTTTTTGAATATCCTGCATGTTTACCTTGCCGGACACAATTTTTTCCCATGATGGGAGACTCGAGATAGTTTGAAGCCATTGGTCTTCTGTTAACTCAGAGCTTGAGTACCACCATTCCTGAGAAGAGGGAGAGGGCCAAGAATTAACCAGTGCTCCTCCACTTGTGTGACTAAGGCTGGGCTCATACAGAAATGGTCCAGTGTCCTTGAGCTTTCAAAACCATGTGAACCCACAGACAAATGATGAGTTTTGCTGCCCAAACTCAGATACTGACACATGATTTTAAATAAACCCATAGAAGTATACATCCATTCACATATTCAACAAATACTGGGTACAAGGTGCCATGCTGGATGCTACGTGTGGTTTTGCCTTCCAAGAGTTCACATTCTCATGGGGAGGAAGGACATGACTAGCAACCTAACACAGACTGGAAAGTGGTGAGGGCTACAACGAAGGGGCAGAGATCTTGCTGAAGCAGATGTGAATGTGAGCGAGATTCTGTGGGAACTCAAAGGGGAACAGGCACACACATCTGAGCTACGGATCCATCACCCCTTTCAGGAAGAGTCCAGAAAGGCCTTTCATGCTTAGGGAATCCTAACCAGGCAGTAAGCTTCTGGGGCTTCCTTAGAAAGGTGGGCTTCCCCATCCCAGCTTGCTGGCTGATGGTACATACTTTGCTCATGTTCAGCCAGCATTTCTCCAGCACATTCCCCTGTGTTTCAGAGAACTGTAAGGCTGTGTTCAGGAAGAGGTCACAGTTCTGCCCGTCTCCCATTAGTATGCAGACATAGGCCATCAGGTGGTAGAGCCTCGGGTAGAAGACAGGGCCGGTGGTATTCTGAGCCACCAGGCTCTCCAAGTTCTGAAGGAAAAACAGCATATTTGAATCAGAAAGGGGTCCTTGGCTGCATAGATTGTTCCTCCACAGATGATTTGGGAACATTTCAAAGCTTCAAGCAATCAAATGAAAAAGCACATTACAGGGCACCTGGGTGGCTCAGTTGGTTGGGTGACTGCCTTCAGCTAAGGTCATGATCCTGGAGTCCCAGGATCGAGTCCCACATCGGGCTCCCTGCTCGGCGGGGAGTCTGCTTCTCCCTCTGACCCTAACCCCTCTCATGTGCTCTCTCTCTCTCTCATTCTCTCTCTCAAATAAATAAATAAAATCTTTAAAAAAAAAAAAAGCACATTACAGAGACATATATAGGAAGCAGCAGACATAAGGTGACACTCGCCAAATGGCGTAGCCTCAGCAGTCCACCCAGACCAAGAATGCAATGTCGGGGGGGGCTCACTAACCCTTCTCTGCAACCGCTTTTTTAAAAAAATATCTTTTCTTTTGATTACTAAGGCATCTAAGTTATTGTTCAAAACTTAGGGGAAAAAGTATAGAATAAGAATTACCCATAAGCCCAGCACCCAGAAAGAAATATTTTTGACATTTCGGTATATGCTTTCCCACTTATTTCTCTGCCCTCCCCCTTCTCTAAAAAACCAAGCAAAAAAAATAAGCAGGCTGGATGTAGCATGATAAAAAGCAGAGCTATGCTGGGCACCTGGGTGGCTCAGTTGGTTAAGCGACTGCCTTCGGCTCAGGTCATGATCCTGGAGTCCCGGGATCGAGTCCGCATCGGGCTCCCTGCTCAGCGGGGAGTCTGCTTCTCCCTCTACCCTCCCCCGTCTCATGTACTCTCTCTCTCATTCTCACTCTCTCACATAAATAAATAAATCTTTAAAAAAAAAAAAAAGCAGAGCTATGCTTCTTATATCATGCTAGAGAAGATGGAAGATGTGCCCTATAGAAGTGTCACCTTTCAATTCCAACCAATGGCTGCCCTTTAGGAACGTGGGCCTCAAGTCACCAGATCCTCCAGTTTTTAAAAGAGTCAGAAATTCAGAATTTTATGTCAAATATCCCAATGCATTGTGTCTGACTTAACCAAATCTCCTTTATGAAATACTTATAGTTTTTATTTTCTCCTAGTTTTTTAATGCTATCAACCTGAGATCAATATCTTTATAGATAAATTTTTGTTTGCCATCTGATTATTTCCTTAAAAAAATTCCCAGGGAGAGAATTAACCGATGTGTGTATTTTAAAGATATTTTGCCAGAATGCTCTCTGGAAAGTTTATGGGAGTCTTTCAGAGTATAAATGTGTCTTCTTTCATGTTTTTGCTAATTTGATGGTCAATGAAATAATGTCTTTTTGTTTTGTTGCATTCACTTCAATGTTATAGAAATGGAATCAAACCTTTGAGTTTTCCAGACTGATCTATTCCATGTCTATTTAGGCCATTGATTATTTAAGAAATGAAACATCTACTGCGAACATTGTTCTGTGTACCGTGGGAGATACACACTTTCCCCCTCTTTTGTGGTCCCGTGTTCTCTCTGCTCCCTCCGTCACGCCTTCCCAGCCCCAGGCCTCCTCCCCTACCTGCTTCTCCAAATCAGAAAAATCACAAACTCCTCGAGTAGAGAGACAGTATTTCTCTCATCTTTATTGTAACCCTGGTAGCACCTACTATATTTTTAACCTGTCCTGGCTTTGGGATACGTGAGTTTTTATCACTTTACTACTCAATAAATAAAGATGTGCTTTCTTTACGGCATCTGCTAGTTTGTCTATCTGGATTTTCTTATATCAGTTTGGCTGAAAGTATGGTACACCTTTATTATTAATCAATAGAAGTGATAATGACAGCCAATTCACTTGTCATATGTAATGTGCCTGGTACTTGAAAAAAAAAAAGAGAGAAAGTTGGAATAGATCATGTGTGAGATGGTTAAAAAAACAAAAACCTATTTCTTCTGACCAACATGGAGTTAAGCATGTCTCAAATCCCTCATAAGTCATTCTTTCAACTTAAGGAAAGACATTTAATTACTCTATTACATGAAATGAAATTACCCAATACATAATAATTACGTAAAACAACACTTTCTATAACCAAGCAAGTCCATATCCTGAGTGAGAGCCAGTAGAATGCTTTATTATCAGAAAAAATAAATACATGCTCTATGTCAAAGAGCACGTACCTCTAAGCAGTGATGACAATGACCTTTTCTGTGTTTCAGGCAGTGATTAGTAAGCAATGTGAACAAAGTGCAGGAAGAGACGCTGGGCCTGGGTGTCCTGTGAGAGTTGGTGCACGGCTCCCACCGGGGCAAACTGAAGACTCTCCTCCCCACAGCAGGAGTGAAAGGACCTGCCTCCTAACAACGTTCCAAGGATGAAAGGAGCACTCTACTTTGAGATGCCTTGAAGTCCCAGGATGCCTTGTTTTGGCACATTTTGACATCTCTGAAACAGGGACATTCCTAAAGTTTCAGCACCTGGGTTCTGCTTACACCCTTAGAGACCCTTCCAGCAGATTCTTCCATAGATCATGAGAAGGTAGTTTGGTCAACATCTTGATTTTAAAGCCTTCTAAGACCCTAAGCAGAGAACCCAGACAAGCCTGTCCAGACTTCTAACCTGTCAAACTGTGAGATTACAAGTTTGTGTTATTGGGGCGGCGCCTGGGTGTCTCAGTTGTTAAGTGTCTGCCTTCGGCTGAGGTCATGATTCCAGGGTGCTGGGATCGAGCCCCACATCAAGCCCCACATCAAGCGCCACACCAGGCTCCCTGCTCAATGGGGAGCCTGCTTCTCCCTCTCCCACTCCCCCTGCTTGTGCTCTCTCACCGTCTCTTTCTCTCTCTCTGTCAAATAAATAAATAAAAATGTTTTTTAAAAAAGCATTTTGTGTTATTTAAGCGGTTAGGTTTGTGGTAACTGGGGACCCAGCAATAGAAAACGAATACACCTGTGCTCAGTTTTTAAAAGAACAAGGCAAACCAGTGTCAAGCTGACACCAGAGATTCAACCCTACCGTCCCTTGGAGGGCTTGCCCAGTCTAGGCTGTAAACCTAGAGGCGGGTACCACGTGTAATTTGCTCCCCCTTGTACCCCCACAGCTGTACCCGGTGGTTACTACATATCAGCTGAATATTTTACTTATGTATGTGTTTTGGCACTCAGCACAATTTTGTTCCATGAGTGGAAGATATGCACATTCTGTGTGGCTTTTATTGAAATGTTTGAAAACTCATTTTGTAAGTTTTTTTTTAAGAAGTTAACTTACTTAAAAGACACATTCAGGATCAGCTGAATATTTTAAACTTCCACGTGCGAAGACTCACCCACCAAGATGTTTATCACAGGAACAGCAGTAAAATGCTACAGAAAAATTCCTGTCCCAGAACAGTTTGGCCTATTGTCTCACAAGATCTTTGAGATTTTATCTGCAAGAGAAAATACTATGCTTCCTTTTAACTCGTGGTGGAGAAAACAATGTATTGACAGGAAATCATTCACAATATATTTTATTTGAGAGCACGTTTTAAAAAATGGAAACGTGCGCATGTGCACATAAGAAAAAAACCTCAACGGTGGTGTCTCGTAAAAAGCGGTTCTCCCTGAGCAGTAAGGTTGTGGGCAATTTGTATTCTCTTCTAATTTGGAGGGAAGGCGTTACCTTAAAAATTTGTACTATAAACATGTAACTTCTGGAGTCCGAGGAAATTATCATCACAAGGAGGTAGAAGACAGAAATCCACTTAAGGGGTGGGTTAGCCTGGGCTCACCTTGAGTAGCTCGACTCCACTGTCTTGAGCATTCTCAGATTGACCCTCGATCTGCTTCTGAAGGTAGAGAACTTCTCCCTCCATGTACCTACAGATTCCTTCATAGTAGAGAGCTGTCGGCGTTCTTCTGGGCACTAGGTTTTTAGCTCTACTGGAAAATATGTGGAAGTTGTCCCATTCCTGAAGCCTGGCATACCTGCGTCACCACAGAAGAACAACACAAATCAGGGTTGCCCGTGGAATGGGCCGAGGCTCTGAAGTGGGTCTGCAAGTAACAGCTCCCAGGACCTGGGGCTGGAAGCCTGCCGTGGGCTCCCCAGTGGGAATGATGGGATAGGAAGCTGGGCAAGAATAGAATTTTTTGGTTGGTTTGAGGCAAACAGAATCCTCGGGAATGCTCGGGTAACATTAGCAACCAGTTATTTAACTCTTTGAACTCTAAAAAAGTGAAGGATATCGGACACTTGGAGCTATAAATTCTAGGGCTTGAAGACATTGCTCCAATTCCAGAGAGAGATGGCTTAGGCCAGTGCTGCTACTCAAAGTGTGGGCCACAGACTGGGATCACCAGTGTCACCAGGATGCTCCTTAGAAAGGCAGGCTCGCTGGTCCAACCCACATCTGTTGAATCAGACCCTCTGGGGATGGGGCCAGGAATCCGCATTAACAAGTGTTAACAGGCTCTCCAGGTGATTCCTGTGCCCATTAAAGTGTGACAAGCACTGGCCTGGGCCACAGCTGTTGAAAGGAAACAGAGTAGAATAAAAAACTAGGATGACTTCTGGACTTTAGATTCCTTGAATTTTAATTCACATGGACAAGTTAATTTAACTTTGGACTTTAATTTCTTTGGACTTTTATTGGTAAGCGTAATTCATTTTTAGAGTTTAATTTCTCCCAAGGGATTTTATAGTAGATTTCTATTCAATTTTGGAACTGCTCTAGTTTGTGGCCCTTTGTATAGGAATGTCTTCATGTTGTCATTTAATCTCATCACAAAATTGAAATATTGGACAACATGGCTGCATATACGAGATGGGAAGTAGACTAGGGAATGATGCTGTGGAAGTAATTTAACGAATGTTCTGGAACCTTGCTGTTGATCTACTACTTGATGAGTTCAAGGCATTAAGCCCCAGGCTTGATGGGTTAATGGGGTACAGAAGGGTGCTGCTTCCCCTCCCACGGTTTACTTTCGTGTGAGGGAGCTCCGCGGGTGCCAGGCACAGCCTCTCTTCCCCTGCTTCCCTCCCTGCTCCAGTGGTCCGGAAGGACGGGTTGTTGGTGACTGCGGGAAAGGAGGTAGGCAGGTGTAGCCCAGGACCTGGCCCTCTCCATCCTGAGAGGGGTGAGGCCCACAGGGAGCTTCGTACGGCTCTTCTCTCTGTCACGCAGTGGAAAGAGGCCTGTCTTGATGGAGGAGAACAGCAGTTTTCCAGCACTGCCTGCTGCTTGAGGGGGCAAGCCTAATACTGGGGTTCAAAATTAGGAAGCCCACCCACCTGCAGATACAAGCCACATCCGCCAACATCAGTTCTGTCAACAATGTTTTTCAATAGAATTCCATTTTGGTGGGGGTGGGTGGGCAAGTGGTACTATTTATGTGTCTCCCTCAAACCCCAAACACTCCTCAGAAGCAAGTACTCTTCTCCCTCTCTGTATTAGCACACCAGTGGTGTGTCTGTAATAAATGCTTGTCGCACTGAATACAACTGAGGTGGTCTTGCCTAAGGGGGATGAACTAGGTGACCCCCCAAGGCGCCTTTCAATGTAAATCCACTCTGACGCCTTCAATCTGTCTCACATATAAATTATAAATTCTTTTTCTTTTCTTTTTTTAATCTCCTAGAACTCTTCTTCAGGAGTCAACCTTTTCAAATTTGGGAGTTTAGTGATATGCAACACATTGTTACCAGATAGCTACACAGGAATAGAGTCCCAGGAGGATTCCACTTTGGAATTTGAGGATTCTGTTGTCTTCATTTTGGTATATGAATTCCAAACATTCTTCAAATGTCTTATAAACAAAGCCTAAAATAGAGAGAAGCAGGAGAGCTTTGGTGGCGGGTCGGGGTGGTCCTATTCTAGCCTAGTAGCTCCCAGGGAGAATTTCCTCCTATGGGGAGAGGCCATAATCTCTGTTTACTTTATGAAGCCAAAGGGTCCTGTGGAGGGCAACAGCCTCGTGACCATGCTGCCCTGTGTTTGCACAGCCCCAGCTTCTGTGCAAGTATATGCACACAGGGTACAAACTCCAGGGTTGGAGTTTAAACCAACCCTGCCCTGGGAGCCCTGCTGGAGTTGGCCTTAGTGCGGCCTGGGACCTCCCCATCTCCCCACCCATGCTTCCTTCGTTGGCGGCAGTCTCTGTATCCCTTTCCAAAATCACATGGTGAGGAATGAATGCCCAGCTTGGCCCTTTTGGTTACTATGGACACTGAGGTCTGCCTCCTTGGTGTAACCAGGACTATCTGGACAGAACTTGTTTTCCAAATCTCCAACAGCAACCAATGCCTGGACCCATTAGCAAATTCCACCCTTTGTCCTAAAGCATGAGGTCTCTAAGTATATTCTGCTAACAAGTCCTCTAGTAAAAGGCACATAGAAGACACTTCAGTCCCTACACCGGTGTGTAAGTTGATCTCACCCTTAAAATGGCAGCTTACACCCAACAGGTTCCTCTGGACTAAACTCTCCTCCTTGCTGGTCCTTCACAATCCTTGCACCTTCCAGACGGCTCCTCAGCTCTTTGACCACGCTCTCCCCTTCCCTGTCCTAGAGGTCTTTCCAGCCAGAATCCTAGTGGTCTCAAGACCTCAGCCCCAACAGCTGCCGCACCACACCAACACACATACCGTACCCCCAATTGCTTGTAAATCCCCAAGCCACATTTACCAGAATAAAGCATGATGTCCAGGCAGACAAAATAGAAGAATGCCTTGCTGAAGATGTGCTCTTCTCTTATAGAAAGGTCCCACAGCCACCCCAACACCTGGATCAATTGCTTGTTTCTGCGGCAAAGGAAGGTAGTAAGATTAGGAAGTGCTGGGGAGGAGAGGATGGAGTTGAGTGCTGTTCTTGTTTCCATGGTACCCACAATTCCAGACCAAATATGGCCCTTATGCAGATTTCAAACCCACTCGCAAATCTCAAATTGGCTCTTCGCTCAAACCGTTGTCACAGACCTCTGTATCACCGCAACCAGAGGCTGGAGCTTCTGGTCCTTGGTGCTCTTCTCTGGGCATTTGCCTCTCCTGTGAAACTCTTCCCTTTCCCTCTAGGGAAAGCCTGATGCCCACAGCAGGATGATTGACGGACTCTCCTCCAGTCCCTGGCCAGAGTAAACAGACTAGGGATGATGTATGTGAAAGAATGCTGTGCAGGGGCGCCTGGCTGACTCAGTCAGTGGAGTGTGCGACTCTTGACCTCAGGGTTGTAAGTTCAAGCCCCACGTTGGATGTGAAGATTACTTTAAAAAATGATAAAATCTTAAAAAAAAAAAAAAAAGAATGCCGTGCAAAGAACAGTGGTATCCCAAAGACTATGATTATCAGTCACATCTTACTGTAAATCCTGCTCCTTTGTCACCCAATGGCCAGAGTAAAGTGAGCCCAGAACGCTCAATTACTCTGTCTTCCTCCCTCTAATTTTGGAAAATGCTTTCAGCTAAATACCTGTTTTTCTTTTTTTTATTTAAAGTTTTTTTTTTTTTTTTTATTAGAGAGCGAGCGAGAGAGAAACAGCATGAGAGGGGAGAGTCAGAGGGAGAAGCAGGCTCCCCACTGAGCTGGGAGCCTGATGTGGGACTCGATCCCAGGACTCCGGGATCATGACCTGAGCCGAAGGCAGTCACTTAACCAACTGAGCCACCCAGGCACCCAATACCTGTTTTTCAAGAAGAGAGATTTACTAAGCCAGCAGAGGACCATGTAGTGTCTGTTGGGATTCCGGAGCAGAGTCCACATCTTGCGGGCTCGAGAGCCTGGGAAGAAAACAATTCCAGTATATTTCAGGGTGTTACTTGTATTCTGCATGCCCCTTCTTGCCCAGACAAACCTTACCTAAGTCAATGGCCAAGTCCAAGTGACCCATTAAAAGCTTGGTATAGCCCAGTGTATCAGCCACATATGACACGATTTCAATGCCCGCGCCTTTCAGGGGGAGGTTGAAGATCTGTTCCATGGCCATGATTTCATATTTGAACCACACACCCTGGTAGCCGGCCAGCTGGTGGTGCAGTGAATAGTCCAGGTAGGCCTTAATGATCTGAAATGGCAGCAGTGGAGAAGAGAAGTGGCAAAACTGAGGTGGAACCAAGGCAGGAAGCCCAGGGACAGTGGCAAAACTGAGGTGGAACCAAGGCAGGAAGCCCGGGGACATCGCCCAGTGTTGGCCAGTGAACATGGGTTTATTAAGCTTGAGAACGGAGCTGGTCCTTTGGCCAAGGCACGGGCTTAGGTGCAGATATTAAACTGGGTCTCTGCCACCTGTTTACTGGATCATCCCGGACACACTCGATGGTTCCTCTTGCCCACAGAGTCCTTAAGCAAAATATAAGAATTTTAATTTTTGTGAAAAATAAAAGCAGTGGCTTATATCTATGTGAATATATGATTGCAGAGCAAAAAGCCGGGAAGGATTCTGCCCATGGTGCGTACTTGGGGGGGAAGCTGAGGGACAAGAGGGACTTTACTTTTTACTTTATACATATCTGTGATGTTTAATTTTTATAACAAGTATGTCTACTATGTTGTTTAACGAAAAAGAAAGGTGGGTTTGGTTTGTTTGCTCTTAAAAAGAGGAAAGCGTGGTTTCCTCATGAATTGAGAGACCTCTGAGAAGTTGGTTACTCCATAAACAACTCTTTCAAATGGTCAAGTTGCTCCAGAATATAAATGCTTAGGGACAGGTAAAGAGAAAGCAGTTCCTGCTAAAGAAGGTTCCTAATGATACAAGTGTCTCGCACTGAGGGCAGTCAGTGGGGAGGCATTTAGGAGAAGGGGACTTTTCTCCTAGAATTGTTCAACTCACACAAAATAAGCAGGCTACAAATTCTGTGTTACAGACAGTTCTGTGGGCACTTGTTAAGCCACAGAGTCAATCTGAGGGGGTTCCTGTATTCCTGATCTGAGTTGTGTTTCAGATGGTGCTACCAGAAGGGAAGGGCAGCCGGAAATTGTGGACCAGGAGAGGACTGCCAGGCGAATGAAATGTCCAACGCTGTTACAGAGCCCAGGACTTCTTGGATTTGGATCAAGAGCACAGAGTCCAACTGCTTTACTTTCTGCGGAAAATATGAAGCTCGGAGGTTATGTGGCTTGCCAGTGGTCACGCCACGGATAGGTGAAGTTCTGGAAACTACCCTCTCGGGGCTCATTCTGGTTCTTTCTGTTATCCAACAATGAGTGTGTCATCTGCTGTTGAGCACCCAGGGGAGCACTTGCCAGGCTGCTCTGCCTTTGGTCATGGCCATATTATTAACCAGCCTCTTTCGATTCACTTTCCGATTTTGGCTTTTCTATTATAGTCTCCTGTCCCCCAACGCCACCATGTTTTTAAGAGATAGACCCCAAATAGGGAGGGGAATTAAAGGATTTCATTCACTAAATATTTGTTGAGTGCCCACTATGTGCCAGGCACGTTATTGAAGCTCAGGATGTGAAAACGGTAACAGACGAGATCCCTGCTCTTATGGACTTTACAGGTCAGTAGCAGACGCAGGCTATACACTAACAAAGGAGCAAATAAGAAAATGTCAGATGGTAATAAGAGCTACTACAACAGCGTGACATATTAAAGAGTCAGTGGGTGAGGTGGTCCAGAAAGGCCTATGAAGGAGGTGACCTTCAAGCTAATAAGCACAGAGCCCAGTAAAGGTCAGGGGATGAGCTCTCCAGGCAGAGGAAATGTCCACTGCAAAGACCCTACAAGGGGATTGAACTTAATGTTTGAGGAACCGAAAGAGGTCTAATATGGCTGGGTTTAGTGGCCCAGGGAGCTACAGGAGGAAGACGGGCAGAGGGCTATATTTGATGGGCTTTGTAAATATTTCTGTATCCTGGGCTATTGGAAGGCACTAATGCTGGGGACAGACTCCTGGCTAGGAATTTAAGCCCCTCCAGCATTTACAGTGCTACTTCACCATTTCCCTTAATTCCTGATAATTAATCACTCCAAGAGGAAGCTATTGCCCCAGAAGAAATCTAGACTTGATGTGTTTTTTTATAAAGGAACCAGATCATTCATTAGATGAATTGGATTTAGCTTAATAATTCCTTATTTTGTCTCCTGGAGTTTTCCACATCTAACCAAAGTTTTCCCAGTTTATGACTTTGTAGGGGCCAAGGGCAGGCTGCCCCAAAATGGGCCACTTTGGCATAAACATTATTTTGAGTCAAAGGCAATCAAAACCCAGCAGATTCAGGAAAAGCTTTTTTTTTTTTAAAGGCTAAACAAATTTATTTGTTTTATTTTTTTAAGCCGAAATAAAATTAACATTCATGTTATATTAGTTTCAAGGAAGAGCTCTTTGTCTCTCAACTGCCTGCTTTACTAGGAAGAGAGGTATTAACAGAGATTCCTCTTTACCTAAGGAATTTCTCTGCATAATAGGGCAACAGCTTTGTTTTCCAAACATCTCCTCACCTTCCTGCTAACAGGCTTCCTCCCCTTCGTGCCCTCAGGCCCCTGCCCCTCTCCCTAGCTCACATAAACCTCATGTTGCTTCATTGTCTTTGGAATTTCATGTCTCCGTGGATTCCCCATACATACGCTCTTAAATTTGATCTTCTATTAATCTGTCTCATGTCAACTTGATTCTTAGTCCAGTTAGAAGGATCCTAAAAGGCACCTTAGACACACAGTTCTGCCAGTGGGTCCTGAGACATCTCAGGGAGTGCACAAAGAAGTCAAAGCTACTTTCAGGATATCAAGGCATTATTTGTGTGAGGAAAAATGGTGCAAGATCAAAACAAACAAAAAAACTCAGTGGATTGTCCTGTCTAGTTCACTCATTAAGGTTATCTCTGCCTTTCATCGTCTTTGGGCTATTTTATAGCTCTGTATGAGGCAGAAAACTGATAATAATGTAAATTAGCCTCTTGCATAGAAATGTAAGTGTTCAGGGGAATCCATGTGATTATTGCCCCCATGACTAGACTAGTTTTGCGTCTAGTCATAAATTGAATTCTCCTTGGAACCAGTTGTAACATCTCACTAATTTCTCAGTAATTAATGTGTTTAATAGGATCTTTGACATGGGTTCTTTTTGTTTTTCTATGAGTCATGATTTTATCTTTTTTTAAAAAAATTATCCTTTAACATTTTCCTTTTTTACCCTCATTCTCTACTGGTATATAGCGCAGTTTCCCAGGGGCAACATCCCATGTTGCAACGGAGTGAAATTAGAAACAGACCGAGAATCCACCTATCTTCTATGAAGTCGGACATTAAGATATTTGCAGAAATTTAATACGTGCCACTCTTCTCGCTCAATTTTTTGTCTGGGGGAATTGGTCTTTTGTTTTTCCAATTAAAATGTTAATTACGTTAACATGTAAGAGTTTTATTTTTCTTTTAAATACCTCAGTTTTTGTTTCTTATAATTGTGGTAGATTCAACCCATAGAAACAAAAAGCTTTGAGGTCCTCAGGAATTACTGAGTCTAAAGTGATTCTGGGACCAAAGTGTTTGAGATGCTGGCCTTGGCGAAACAACCCAGCCCGGAAGGGCTTTGTTCTACCCTCATGATTCTGCATCCCTGTTGGCTCCCAGTGGGAGTTTCCCTTTAAATGAGATGCAGAAATTTAAAGGCATCTACAACAACAGCCTACCTGAAAATCATCTTGAGTTTCCAGGGCCGTATTCACTTGCATCATAGCTGCTAGGTGGCCATAATACTTGTAGTGGAAAAAATAATTTAAGCTATAGATCTGCCACAGCAAGGAGAAGCACGCGATTTGCCTGTAGAGTTGTGCCAGCCTCCTCTTCCTATAAGAGAAAATAACACACATGGGACGGAGAAAGAATGCTAGCGGGGAACGCCGGTACAGAATCCTCGCTCCTGGCTGGGAGGTCAAAGCAGGTGTGAGCCTGAGTCCTGCCTCCTTTACAAGATGGTAAAGCGCAGGCACATTAATTTTTTTTTTTTTTAGGCACATTAATTTTTATGAAGCACATTTTCTCCCCCACCCAATGGGGAGCATAATACCTACTTTTTGATGATTAATTAAGACAATTTATGCAAATCACTTGTCCCCTGTCAGGTTATCGCTATTTATTTATTTTTAAAAAAAGATTTATTTATTTGAGAGAGCGAGAATACATGAGAGGGGGGAGGATTAGAGGGAGAAGCAGGCTCCTCGCTGAGCGGGGAGCCTAATGCGGGACTCGATCCCGGGACGCCAGGATCATGACCTGAGCCGAAGGCAGTCGCTTAACCAACTGAGCCACCTAGGTGCCCCAGGTCATTGCTATTTAAATGAAGTTATTTTAAAAAGCCCATTTATTTAACTCATCACATTTGATTCTGATAACAAGCCTGGAAGAAAGGAAGAAATAATGAACCCCATTTTATGCAAGCAGGTGAGACTCAGACAGGTTAAGTGACTAACCCAAAGTCACATAGCTGGAATGTGGTGGGGCTGGGGCTCAGGCTCTGTCCGCTTCCAGCCCGGCCATTCCTGTGTGTCATGTCCTCCACTGAGCAGGCTATCAGGAGCTAGGCCTCAGCTCAACAAAGGAAATGAACATTTTAACAATTACGTTCTTATGTGATCTGAATGCACCTCCACAAAATTCATATGTTGAATCCTAACCCTCGAAATTGATGGTAACAGTAGGTGGGTGCTTTGGGAGGTAATTAGGTCATGAGGGTAGAGCCCTCATAAATGGGGTTAAGGCTCTTATAAAAGAGACCCCAAAGCTCTCCAGCCCCTTCCCACCATATGAAGATAAAAAAAAGTCTGTGACCCTGAAGAGGCCCCTCCCCGACCATGTTGGGACTCTGATCTGAGACTTCAGCAATAAATTTCTGCTATTTATAAGCCACCCCAGTCTATGGTATTTTGTTAAAACAGCCTGAGCAGACTAAGACACATTCCAGCAATGGAAAGGAATGTCACAGGAGATGGTGAACCTCCTGTGCTGGAGGTATTCAAGGGGAGGATGGACGACCACCTACAAAGAATGTTCGGGTTCTCAATCTTGGCTTCAACAAGCCATTTAAAAATGGGAACCTTATCTTTATGATAAGCAAGTTGGCGGCGATATTAGTGATTTAACAAAACCAAGAAAACAAAATATAATTAGAAATATTTATCAAAAAGCAGATTTTAAATAAAGACGGGAAAGGAGAAAGAAAGAGATATCCTGGGGGGCGCCTGGGTGGTTCAGTCGGTTAAGCATCTGCCTTAGGCTCAGGTCATGATCTCAAGGTCCTGGGATCAAGCCCCATATCAGCCTCCCTGCTCAGCAGGGGAGTCTACTTCTCTCTCTCCCTCTGCCCCTCCCCACCGGCTCATGCTCTCTCTCTCTCACTCTCAAATAAATAAAATCTTAAAAAAAAGAGAGAGATCCTGGAGATTTTTAAAAAAGAATTCCAGTTACTTTCAATTTAGACATTAATGACATTGATTCTGTTGTGGAAATTATTTTTTAAAGCCTCTTAGGAAACAGCGTAAAATCCCTTACAGTGTAAGACATTCATGAGAGCCGTAGAAACTCTGACATTAAAGTTGTTTCTTGTCCTCATTTTTGAGATCAGAACCCTTCGACCAGATGGTGTTGGAAACCCACAGCTCTGCAGTTTCTTCCTCAGCAGTACTTCCCCCCTTTTCCCTCATGCAGGTAACTTCTTATTCCTTTCATAAAATGTGGCTGTTAACTAGGCTTCTCACATTTAGGGAATGCAAACGTGGGATGCCCAGTTAAATTTGCATTTCAAAACAATTTGTTTAGAATGCACATGTCCTAAATATTTGTGTGACATATATGTATCTTAAAAAAATGACTCAGGGCGCCAGGGTGGCTCAGTCAGTGGAGTGTCCGACTCTTGATTTCAGTTCAGGTAGTGATCTCGGGGTGGTGGGATCAGGCCCCACGTTGGGCTGGGCCCCGTGCTGAGAGCCTGGATCCTGCTTAAGATTCTCTCTTTCTCCTTCTCCCTCTGCTCCTCCCCATTCACACACACTCTCTCTCTTTAAAAAAAAAAAAAAAAAAAAGAGTAAAAAAATGATTCATTGTTCATCTGAACTTCAAAGTGAACTAGGCATGCTGTATTTGATCAAGCAACTCTACACATGACCCAAACTCTGATTCCCTCCTACCTCTCAGAGGGATCTCTGCTGACCTCTCCCTGCCCCCTCCCTCTTGGTGTCTCCTGAGACCACAGGCACCATTCCCAGGAGCCTGCCCCTAACCTGCAAAGGAGCTCAGCTCCAGCTCATTTCCACCCCAGGCTCCCCCGCATTTAAGGGAACACTTTTGGGGAAGGCAGTGGGCTTGGGGAAAGAGCTGTAGCAACTGGCTCCTAGAAATAGCTGTGTGCATCTCAGGCAGAACCTGTAGTGAAACCACTACTGGCCTCTCCCAGCATGGAAGAGATGTCCTCTGTCAGCTCTCCAGATCCCCAGCTAGGTGGCATTTCCCTTGGTGCTGATTGAATAGGGGGAATATATCCAGAAACTTTTATTGTGGAAAATTTCAAACATACACACAGTAAAGCAGAAAAATATCATGAACTACATGCATTGAACACCCAGCTTCAACAACTACCACTGCAGGGCTTGAATTCACAACCCTGAGATCAAGGCCTGAGATGAGATCAAGAGTCCGATGCTTAACCAACTGAGCCACACAGGTAGTCCCCACCAGTATTATTTTTTATAGGCAAAATTTACATACGTTGAGATGTATAAATCTTAGTGGTTTAATCATGACTGATGGATATTCCCATGTAATGCACATTCCCATCCAGGTACATAGATGGGTGGGCAGTCTGCCCTCTGGCAGAGGTCTTTGGGACCTTGTATTTCGGTTTGGGGCAGGGACGATACCCAGCGTTGTACCCCTGGATGGAAAAGGGCTTGTGACTGAGGCCACAGGAGCACTGGTACAGCTTCCAGTGGAACATGGCAGGTCACAGGGTTGAAGGGGTGGACTAGGGCAGGGCACTGGAGCTCAGCTTTCGAAGGGCTCCCTGATGTTTTTGTCACCTGAACTCACCTTTCACAAAAGCTGCTGTGAGGTGTTCTGGGGAAACCCCCACCTCGCCTGGAGCCTCCCCCTCCAGCCCCCTCCAGCCCCCTCCAGCCCCCTCCAGCCCCCTCCAGCACCAGTGAGCCTCAGGGTAGAGCCACCAGGCCTTCTTGCGCCCCCTAGAGGCCCAGGCTTTGGGGGCTGATGGAGTCTGTGAAGGTCTCTCTGAGGAGTGAGACCTCGAGCTCTTCCCAGCTCCTTCCCTTACCCTGGAGGTGAGCTCTCTTGGGCCTGTTGATTCACATAGTGAAAGTGTCTGTTTTTCTCAACATGGGTGTGAAGAAACAGGGAGATTAAGTTGTAAGGAAAGATTCTCTTGAGCAGCTTCAGTGCCTTCCGCAGCATTTTCTTGGCAAGCACCATCTGGCCCATGTTGAAACAGACCTACAGGGAGAAAGGAAGGGGAGAAAGGAGAGAGGAAAAGCAGTGATTCTGGACTTAATCGGTGTGTTCCAACAACACATATTCCTGGGATTCTTATCAAAAGGGTAACTTAAGCCCCAGGAACAAAATCCCCGTGGGCCTGGCATAACAGTAAATGTTTGCAGATGAATGCCTGGAAGGATGGCTGACTGATGAGGATTTTGCATGGAATCTTTATTGTGCATCATCTACCTCTGAGACAGTGTTTCCCCGTGCAGGTCCATGTTTGGAGGTTGTTAAAAAACCTTTCATAATGACATCAGCCACGAGGACAAGGAAGATCTTGCTGCTGGTAAGTGAGGGCAAGGAGGTTTGAGTAGCAGGTCTTGAGGTTCTGCGGTCTTGGCAAGGATTTGTGGCAGAGGATGGGAGGGGGTGCAGGAAGGACAGGGACAGCTTCTGCTTCTTCTATATAACGCCCCAGTGACCAATAACACATGATCATGTTTTTAATGCTTTCTTACCTGACCTTTGAGGCTGTAAAAGGTAGCGGACTCAAAAGTATGACTCCAGGATTTGTCGTCCTTGAGCATTTTCAGCAACCTCTCTCCCTCGTTCAAATATATGTATGCCTGCAGCCAGGAGAGGGGCACATTGTGTTGAGTCAGCAGGGGTCCGGCCTCTACCGAGCAGGGAAAAGCACCTGCCACCGGAGGACCCACTTCCACCCCCGTCCCTGGCTCCGGATTAGTAAGGGCCTCCAAACTCTAGGTAGCACTGGGTAGGTCAAGTTCCTGGTGAAGATCCTGCCCACCTGCAGGCCCATCTTTGTCCACTGGATCACTCGCTTGAGAGGATGGATCCAGGGCAATTTCTTCCTCTGAGTAATTCCACCCCCGATGGCCCCAATTTCCAACAATGTACCCACTGCCCCTGACAGTATCCCCACATCTATGAGAAGCTGGTCTCGATTTTTGGAATGAGTTATGGACCGCTCCCATTTCCTTTGCCAGGGCCATCTTTAGGAAGGTAAGGCCTTGAGCAACTCTCCCCACTTCATTTTAAAACTGTGACATCGTTAGACAGGACAGCCTTGGTACACATGAGTACCAAGGCAAGGTCAGACTTGAAGAGTAAAATAAGGCAAAGCGATATCCCCAAATTTCATTCAGCCAAAGGGATATGAGTGGGAGGCAGAAGAGGGAAATGTGAGTTGACCTGGACCTACTAAATTATTTTTGGTGGGACAGAGGATGCAAATGGCACATTCTGGGTAACCTGCACCAGGGCTCTGCTTCCAATCATTGTCTTTCCTGACCATCCCCCATTCCATGCTAATTGAGGTAGGGGTGCTTAGCAAGTTGGCCCCCAGGGGTACTTAAACCTTCTCTTCTTGGGACTCACTGATCATATCCCCCTTTTCCGTGTGTGTGTGTGTGTGTGTACATATATACACACATATATATTCATATATATAATATGCATGGGCAACTTTCATCTTTCACATAAATACTGAGAGAACTGGGGCTTACCAACATTTTTAATGATTTAATTTTTAAATTTTATAAAAATCTAAGGTATGAGGGTCGATTAGGTTGTTGTGATCAAAAGCAATTGTAAATATGGAAGAGACCACCAGGGTGGACATGAACTATAGGCATGCCTATTCAGAAATGTGAGTCAGACGAAAGCAAGGGCCAGAGGAGCATTTCTTAAAGTGAGTTCAAGCAATGTTAGTCTAATCAGCTGCTCTACGAAAAGTGGTCTAAGGTCAAGTAAGTTTGAGGAACACAGTATGCCCCAGAACTAGCCCGACCCTCTGGAAGATTTACCTGTATCTTAGCATATTAAGGCCATGAAATATTTGCAGTAAAGAAACTTATTTAGCTTTATTCAGCTCAGTGCTTCCCAACTTACTTAAGAATGAATCCTTTTTATTTCATTATACGTACATCGAATCCCCACATTTCTTGGGGCATATAGCCCTGGAATATTATTTACAATTATTCCGGAGAAACACTAGTGTTTTTGTGGCCTAAAGGAAATGTATGATAATTTAGCACAAATTACATGAAGACCAAAGTGGGTGAGCTCCTTTTGGGGAATCACAAGATGAAAGCCAGATTTGCACATATCCAAAGACCTACAGGTATTTGTGCTCACAGGTATTCAGGGAGGACAGAAGGCAAATGCCACAGGGACATTACTGAGGAAGACTCTGCTGAAACGGCAGCAATGATACCAAGAGTCCTTTCTGCATCATTTTGGGAATGAGATAGGACATCCACCCCCTTCCCATATAGGTAGACAATTCATGGCAAGTTTCTAAAGGTGGCACTATTTTCAATGATGTATAATGCTAGTTTCAATTTGTTCTAACTTTCATTTCTCAATCTCAGGTCATTTCCCTTCTCAGCAATTTCATTTTCAAAGGAAAGGGGTGCTGGCAGGAATCAAGAACATGAAGTAATAAAAAAAGCATCCTAGAGCTTCCCTTCGGGCACTGTGGTCTCTAACTTGTCTCAAGGGCGCGGGGGGGGGGGCAGGGGGGCGGGGTAGAAACACCTTACCATATAATTATCACCCAAGATGAGATAAGCAGATGTAATTTCTAGGAAGTAATATAAGGCTTTGTTGTTTTCTCCCAAAGCCAGAAAATGGTGGGCCAGAGGCATGATGACCATCTCTACGATCTCCTCACACTGGCAAGATTCCAGAGGAATGATGTCTTCCTCAGCTGTCCTCATTTTTGTTATAATGACATCAAAGAAACTCAAGATCTTTTCTCTTATTTCTTCAGGACTGTCCAAATGCAAAAATAAATAGGAGGAATAACTTGTAGCTACACTTAGCTTTCGATATGAAACTATCTTTAAAAAACTAATAAAAGAGCAAGATAATCAAACCTGATGTAGATGCTATTGACAGAACTCACCATGCACACACCCCAACATTTCCCCACTCGTACCAAAGACGCCAAGAAGAACTGACCTGACAGATTTTAACAGTATTCTGAGCTTAATGACAGTTGTTTATGCCTAAACAGTCATGTATGCCTGTACCTGAGATTTTCAGGAAATATCTCAGATTTCTTATGAATCTCTATTTTGGAAAAGGTGGTCTCTTCTTCAGCTAGAAAATAAACAAACAAATGAGTTGTATGGGTCAAGAAATGTTCCATGTGGCAGAAATGTCTGGAGTCCACCAAAGAGTCTTGTTCCCCCTTTCCCAACACAGTGCCTGCGGCCCAGCCAGACTCTCCATTTCCCAGTCTCCATTGCGTCTCAGGTGAACCCACGCGATTCGTCTAAAATGGAATTCTATCAGAAGTAATATATGGCACCTCTGAGCTGAGATGGTTTGGTATCTTTTCCATACTTTCCTTCCGCCAGAGAGCAAATAATTGGGAGAATCTAAGGGATGGCAAAAGGACAGAATGGAAGGAGCCTGGGTCCCTGACTTCCTGTGTTCAAGACCATTTGTCAGAACTTGCACTGGATCATTACATGGGCAGGGAAAAAAATTATTCTGTTGTGTCCCCAATTCTTCCTCCATTGGGGAGGAAGAATTTCCCTGGCTGTTCAGAGGTCCTTCTAGCTGAACTAAGAATCAAATTGACATGCGACAGATTAAAAGGGGAAAATCAAATTTAATACATGTCAATAAGGGGAATCTGCGCAGACATGGAAATTCCAAAGACAGTGAGGAAACATGGAGCTTACAAGAGCTAAGGAGAAGGGGAGGGGATCTGAGGATACATACCATTAGCAGGAAGGTGAGAGGAGATGTTCGGAAAACAAAGGTTGCCTTATTATGCAGAGAAGTCTCTTAGGTAAAGAGGAATCTCTGTTTAATAGCAGGCAGCTGAGGGGCAGGTGAAGAGCTTTTTCTGAATCTGCTGGATTTGGATTGCTTTTAATTCCAAATAATGTTCATGCAAAATGGCCCGTCTTGGAGTGACTTGCAGTGGCTCCTACAGTGTTAAGCCACTGAAATGTTGGGGTTGGTTATAGAGGATAACATTATGCTCACTAATTTACACTGCAGCAACTAAAACTATGAATAAATGATCTGTTTCTAGTGGAGAAATATAGACATTTAAATATATACCCCAAAGGCTAACTAAAGGGCAGAGAAACTTGAACTTAAAACCTTCAGTCTATCCAGACTCCAAAAGGTTAGAAAACTCCAGAAACAAATGAGGATGGTCGGATCTAGCCATTTCCCCATGCAGAAGGAAGCAAGAACCCTAGACAGGGGAAGGGACTTGTCTCAGATCATCTGTTAGGAATAGAGGTAGGACTAGAACCTAGGTCTCCCAGCTCCAAGGCCAATGCATTACTCCACAGATCTTTTAATTTCTAAAAATGCAGTTTTGGCACCTAGTTATCACCTTCTTTTGAAAGCCTTCTGTGCCCTTGTCCCCATAGAGTTAGTGCCCCGACTCATCTGTGATCTGTGCAGACCTCCATCATGGTCCTTAATGTCACACTGTGTGAGGAATAATTTGCCCACCTCTCCCCCTAGACTGCCAGCTAGTGTATTTCTAGTGACTGGATGCCGAATAAATTGATTTATGCCTTTTTCCTTCTACTCTTCTAAATCTGTTCTTGTAAAGGTTACCAGTGGCTACCATCTTGCCAAATCCAAACGTCACGTTTGTCCGTATCTTATTACACCTCTCAGCAAGCATTAAATACAATCGACCACTCCCTCTTTTCACCAGGTTTTCTAGCAACCATTCTCTTGGTTGCTTTCTTCATTGGCTGCCTGCCCACTTTGCTTTGCTCCTACTCCTGTACCAACATTCCCAATGTTGGTGAGCTTCCGTTTGGCCCTGGGCTCCCTTCTCCATGCACATTTTTCCTAGGTAATTTCATCTGCCCATGACTATGAATTCCAGTCACATGCCAGTGACTGCCAATTGTTTAATCTCTGAGCCTGACATCTACCCTTAACTATAGATTCATATGTCCAAATGCCATCTTGGCAACTGTTGTTTGAATGCCTAACAGGCATTTAAAAATTAACATGATCCAAGCAGAACTCTTGAATCTCTCTTTCATAAACCTATACTCTGATATTACTAAGCATCAGAGCCATATATCCATTTTCTCAAGGCAAAAAACCTAGGCAATGTTCTGGATTCTTTTCTTTCCCTCATCCCATTCAGCCTATCAGGAAGTCCCATTGACTTTACCTCAAAACATACCTGAATCCATCTTCTGTCCATCTTTACTATAGTACCACCCTAGTCCACCACCAAATTTTATCTAGACAAATGTGAAAAACCGATCTCCCTTCTAGTCCAATCCCCATAATCTGTTCTCTACAGAGAAGACAGAATATGTTTTTAAAAACATGACTCAGATTTCTGTGGCAGAAATTGTTGGTTTCTTATCTCAACTCTATTGTCCTTTTTCTCCTTAGGAATAAAACTCAATTTTACTCAGGGCAGCTACATTTTTCCAGCCTCCCTTGCAACTGGATATAGCCATGTGACTAAGTTCTGTGTAGGACCTCTAGAAAATTCCTTAAAAGGGAAGGGGTATCCCTTTCCTTTCTTTCTTTCTTTTTTTTTTTTGGTTTCTCTTCTAGTGTTAAATGTAAACATGATGGTTGGAGCTCCAGCAGCCATTTTTGGACCAAGAGTTTCTGATGATCATGAAGCCTTCATATTAGTCCCAGTGATGAGACAAAACATTTTACATGAGAGAGAAATAAATTTAACAGGAAATAAATTAAAGCCACTCTAGCTGGGTCCTTGTTACATGTAGCAAATACTAATTCTAATTAATACATCTCCAAAGTCTTCCGACCCACTTAAAATAAAAGTCAGACTATTTATCAAGGCCTATAAGACTCTTTTATGGTTTTATTAATTAATCTGTTTATTGTCTATCACATCCATCACCAGCCTTCATGAAAATTCTCATATATGAGAATAGACACAGGTCTATCATTTTCAGCACTATATCCCTGATACCTGGATCATGGCCTAGTACATAGTAGATGCTCAATAAATATTGCTGAATAAAATGCACATTTTTTGAAAAAAATCAATAAGAAAAATAAAAATGCTACTTCTCCTTCAACATCTTTCTCTTTTTTTTTTTTAAGATTTTATTTATTTATTTGACAGAGAGAGACCGTGAGAGAGGGAACACAAGCAGGGGGGTGAGCTGGAGAGGGAGAAGCAGGCTCCCCACTGAGGGGGGAGCCAGATCTGGGGCTCCATCCCAGGATGCTGGGATCATGACCTAAGCTGAAGGCAGATGCTTAACTGACTGAGCCACCAAGGCGCCCCTTTTTTTTATATTTCAAATTGTAATAGCGATAGAATGAGATGCAGAAACAAACAACATTGGCTAGAAAGGAAACAAAGTTGGGGAGTACAAGATATGTACTCTATCTTTACAATAAACGAAGCTAGAGAAAAGAAAATGTTATTAAGAAAATCATAAGAGAAAATACGTTCATAGTACTATACTGTATTTATTGAAAAAAATGTGCATATAAGTGAATCGGCACAGTTCAGACCCATGTTATTCAAGGGTCAACTGTATGTCCTTCACCAGTATTACCTACAGGCACAAGGTTCAGGGATAATGGACAGAGTCTCCAACCAAGACAGGATATTATAAAAAAGACACTGCAAAAAAGAAAATTATCCTAGAAACTCGAGGAAAAATAAAGTTTTGTAAGAACTCTAGGGACACCTGAGTGGCTCAGCCAGTTAAACGTCTGCCTTTGGCTCAGGTCATGATCCCAGGATCCTGGGATCAGGCCCCACACTGGGCTTCCTGCTCAGCGAGGAGCCTGCTTCTCCCTCTCCCTCTGCTGCTCCCCCGCTTATGAGCCCTCTCTCTCTCTCTCTGACAAATAAATAAATAAAGTCTTTAAAAAAAGAACTCTTTTCACAGTATATTACTTGGTTCTGTAATGCATAGCATTTGCATGGTCTTTGTAATGATTTATCTAATGATGGTCATCAACAATACTGGGGGAGAGGTCCTGAGGAGTAGTGTGACAGGGGTAAGTCCTCATCCTGGCATGCTGTATCTGTTCACCAAAGTAAGAAGAAAACAGATAATGTCAATTTGTTTTTTTAAAAAAGAAAACTGTATGAACACATCATTTTGTTATGGGGGCAATGACCAGAAAGAACAGTTAAGATGTTTGCCCCTGAGATGTACTGAAAGTGTCTGGGGCACTAGGGTTTGAGATTATTGTTTCTACTGTAAAACTTTTAGGAAAAATTTTAAAGTCCTTATTTAAAGATGTCTAGTTGGGCGCCTGGGTGGCTCAGTTGGTTAAGCGACTGCCTTCAGCTCGGGTCATGATCCTGGAGTCCCGGGATCAAGTCCCACATCGGGCTCCCTGCTCGGCGGGGAGTCTGCTTCTCCCTCTGACCCTCCCCCCCTCATGCTCTCTCTCTCTCTCTCTCTCTCATTTTCTCTCTCAAATAAATAAATAAATAAATAAAATCTTTAAAAAAAAATAAAGATGTCTAGTTGATAGGCTTTTAAACAGGTGAAAAGTTCTGATAGGAGAAATAGTAGAGCTTTGGCCTCAGGCAGGTGGAGGGGCTGACAGAAGTGCAGACATTACCCAGAGACACAGGAGGGCACAGAAGCACCCGAGTGAAACTGCTAAGGTATATTGGAGAATCCAAAAATAACTGAAGTTGCTTTCTTTGACAGCCCTAGCCAGCCTGCTTAAAACCATTTGTGGGGGGGGGGAGCCTGGGTGGCTCAGTCGGTTGGGCGTCTGACTCTTGATTTTGACTCAGGTCATGATCTCAAGGTTGTGTGACCGAGCCCCATGTCTGTGGTCAGCGGGGAGGCTGTTTGGGATTCTCTCCCTCTGTCCCTCCCCCTTCTCTAAAATAAATAAACAAATCTTGGGTGCCTGGGTGGCTCAGATGGTTAAGTGTCTGCCTTCGGCTCAGGTCATGATCCCAGGGTCCTGGGATCGAGTCCCGCATCGGGCTCTCTGTTCCTTGGGAGCCTGCTTCTCCCTCTGCTTCTCTCTCTGTCTCTCATGAATAAATAAATAAAATCTTTAAAAAAAAATAAAGATGTCTAGTTGATAGGCTTTTAAACAGGTGAAAAGTTCTGATAGGAGAAATAGTAGAGCTTTGGCCTCAGGCAGGTGGAGGGGCTGACAGAAGTGCAGACATTACCCAGAGACACAGGAGGGCACAGAAGCACCCGAGTGAAACTGCTAAGGTATATTGGAGAATCCAAAAATAACTGAAGTTGCTTTCTTTGACAGCCCTAGCCAGCCTGCTTAAAACCATTTGGGGGGGGGGGGAGCCTGGGTGGCTCAGTCGGTTGGGCGTCTGACTCTTGATTTTGACTCAGGTCATGATCTCAAGGTTGTGTGACCGAGCCCCATGTCTGTGGTCAGCGGGGAGGCTGTTTGGGATTCTCTCCCTCTGTCCCTCCCCCTTCTCTAAAATAAATAAACAAATCTTGGGTGCCTGGGTGGCTCAGATGGTTAAGTGTCTGCCTTCGGCTCAGGTCATGATCCCAGGGTCCTGGGATCGAGTCCCGCATCGGGCTCCCTGCTCAGCAGGGAGTCTGCTTAGCCCTCTGACCCTCCCCCCTCTCATGTGCTCTCTCTCTCTCAAATAAATAAATAAAATCTTTAAAAAAAAAAAAAGAGTCAGATGCTTAGATGACTGAGTCACCAGGTTGCCCCTTGCTTCCGCTTTCTCTTATCGGCCTCAGTCAACTCTCTCTTACTGGTATTTTCACTGGTTCCTTGAACATGGCCCTATGTTGGGATCATCCCTGAAGCTTCTTGGATTTGCACATGCATCCTTGTCAGCCCTCATTTTCTGCCCTCTCAGCACTTGTTTTGTTTGTTGGAGGGGTGTGTGCCCTCTCTTGGTCCTCAAGTCCTTCTTAAAAGTTATTTTGTGTCTTCCATTCCAGCATGTAGGGCTCTTCTCATACTCCCAAAAGTACTCGGGAAGTACTTAAAATGGCTCCAGGCTGGCTTTTTCTCCCATCCGATCCATGAGAATCCAGACTCTGAGGCTCTGAACCTAAAGCCTGACTTCTCTTTTTTGAAAAGGGAGATGGGCAAGTGTTAGTACTGGGTCAACAATAGACTTGTGCCACAGTGCAAAGCTGTTTTCTTCCTGATCGAGGACTGAGAGGGCATCGCCTTCCTCACTCTCTGACTCCATCGACTGTCGCATCCAGGAACCTCTTCTAATCTCCCCTGCCAGTCTTGCCCAAAGGTCCCACCCTGTACTTTGGGAAGCTCAGGTGTACTGGGCACAGCATGAGTTCGGGAATGAGATTGACCTGCGATTGAATAGTCTATCACTCATTCTGGGCACTGGACAAGTTATTGAATCTTCCAGAACCGCAGTTTTCTCATGTATAAAATGAAAATAACCCTCTACCTTTAAGGGTTAACATGAAGATCAAATGAGAATGCATGTGAAATAAAGAGTGAATGAGAATAAATATTTATTTTGGGGGGCACCTGGGTGGCTCAGTCAGTGAAGCATCTGCCTTTGGCTCAGGTCATGATCCCAGAGTCCCAGGATCAAGCCCCACATCGGGCTCCCTGCTCAGCGGGGAGCCTGCTTCTCCCTCTTCCTCTGCTCTTCTCCCTGCTGGAATTCTCTAGCTCTCACACTCTCTCAAATAAATAATTAAAATCTTTAAAAAATTATTTTTGTACCTACTATGTGCTAGGCACTTTCATACATTTCTTCCCAATTTTTAATACCCATATAATATAGGAATCCTGTCCTTACAGCCTCTGCTTTCCCAACTAGATTTAGACATAATCACCAAGGCCTTAGGCTAGGGCGTGCTCCCTGGTGCTCCCTGGTCACCCACGAGGGAGGGCTGAAGTTGGGGTTACTGCCCCTAGCCTCACATCCATCATGCCTATGGTAACGGAGTCCCTGGTCCCTGATACCCCTTGAATCCTCTCCTGTGTTTTCCCAGATTGTGTAGCTGATTTGTGCTATCAGACTGTAACTTTCTCGCTTTTGCTTCACAGATGTCTGGAACCCTGGCCCTGAGCCTGAGCCCCCTTTTCTGGGGCCTTGACCTGCTTAGCCCTGCATAATTCTCCCCTTCTCACATTCTTTCTCTGATGGAACCTTGTTTCAAACCTGACTGCCAGGGCAACAACACTCTTACCTGCCAAGAAACAGTACTCCCTCTTGCTCTTGTTTCTGCTTCAACATGTGAGACCCCTGCCACCCCGCCCCCCTTGGATTCCATCCCTTGGTGTGAATTAAGCTGGGTCCATTTTATCCCTCTGGATATTTTCCTTTGAGCTCTGGTTGCACCCCATTTTGCCAGAGTCCTGATCTGCAAACCCTCTCTGAGTCTCACAGCAAGGCTGTTTCTGCCAGACTCAGCTGCTCACACGTCCCCCTTTCCCACTCCAGCGACCTACGCTACGCAAGTCTCCAGCCATTTGCGGAACCCACGCCTCAAGGGACTTGAAGCCCTCAAGGTCCAAATCTACTCCATTCCCCAGGAATAGTTAGGACTAACGAGGAATGAGGTGTGTTTACTTTTAAATCCGTGGGACTTAGCCATCTTCTTAATGGTATCCATGTCCAAACTGTTGAGGCGAATGTTCACTGTGAAGTGGTGGTAGGGGATGAAGTCCCCACTTTGGCAATGGTCACATCTGTGTGCATTTTCCTCTAAAAAGCGGGCACATTTCAAATGCATGGCTTTCTTCTGGTCCTTCAGCCACAGTTCATAGGCTGTCTTCTGCATCATAGGCCTGCAAAATCGAATGATGTGGCACTCGATGACCTCGCTTTCCAGCTCGTGGAGCTCTTCCTCCTCACCATGAGCTAGGGAGAACAGAAAGGCAATGACTGGGTCAGCCCCTGCTGCCCCACGCACATCAGTTCCTTGACCAGGTACGCCTTTAACTAAGAGGAAATGTGAGTCTCTTCCAGGTTCTACTCACCCATTCCCTCACTAGGCTTCAGAGACAGCGAGCGATAATTCACCTCAAAGGAGGCCGCATGCTGTTTTAGGGCCGTTCGGAGTTCCTTGCCATTCCGGAAACAATCAAAGACATTGGATTCCACTAGAGTCGCCAGGGCCTTGATCATCATCTTCATGTTCCAACAAGGCAGAACCTCGAACAACAACTCCGTGGTGAAGGTCAGGCCAATAATGGCAGCACATCTCACCAACATCTGGTGGGAAAGGCTCATGCTATCCAGCTGAACCAGAGAGATTTCTGCCGGTGAAAAGCCACACAAGAGGAAACTGGTCACCTGTCTGTAGCAAATACGTTCTAGAGACAGACAACTGTCCTGCTCTACACTGCTTGTTTCACAGGAACCCAGCCACGCTAAACCAAAAGAGATTATTTGCTTAGGACCTACTTCACAGAGAGTGCATGGTGCTGCTATCTGGGACACGCACGGCATGATGGCCAGCCCAGAACAAGACTGACTGCAAGGTGTTTGGGTTTTGTGCTAGAGTGTGACAGGGTTTGTGAGGAGAGGGGAGGTCATGGAGGGCCATGGTAGTCGGAGGAGAGTGCCTGCCATCCACCTGCTATGTTGACTTCACCAGCTGGCCCCTGTCTGCCCCCCTCACTGACTGCCTCCTCCTAGCAACAAGCCTCCTCTCGACCTCGCCTGAGACTCACTCGTTGTGACAGTCTATTACCATCTCTGTGCTCATGACAAAGTGCCAGAGAGCTTCAAGCTCCAATTCCAACTTCTCCCCTACATGTGGCTGTCATAGTCCCTGGACACCTGGACCAGGATGTCCTTCTGTGACATCACCTGCATCAGGACAAAATCCAAAATCCAAATTTCTCCGCTTGCCCGCAGAACACTGCAGAAGTCGAGCTAGCCCACCTTCCTACTTTCGTAGACATAGTGAATGAAACAAATGATGCTTTTTTGAAGTCTGAGAACCTCGAGGTGTCCCTAGGTCATCCTTCAAACATGTTCAGTTATTTCTAGATGGCATGGCTTGGAGCTGAATTCATACTAGAACATTCCTTGCAAGTCATTTTTCTCTAAAGGAATAAGAATACAGCTCGGATATAAATTCCCGCTTGTCATTTCTTATAAAAATAAATGACAGAAAAAGTGTCAGTATTCGATTTTCTCTCTCATTATTTGGCTTTGATTTAATGAAAAATGTACTACACCTCATTCATTTATGCAGTTGAACTGAACTTGGTTCAAATCAGACTCCAGAGTATGCCCAGAGGAGCAGGTGGTTCCAAGTCAGAAGCAGAAAAGCTAAGCCTTCCATGGAGACTTCGACTGCCTGGGGTAACACAACACAGACAACCACCACAGTCTGCTACTATTTGCCTCTCTCCCTTTTCAACAATCATCCTAGAGAAAAGAAAAGGGGAGTCTAGGTCCTGGAACACGGGGTCAAATCTTCCTTACCTTTTAATGATGCTGGTGGTGACAAGTTTTTCAATCTGACACCACTGGCGAGGTTACAGACTTCTTCAATTCCCTCCTCATTATTAGGAGTAAATATTTTTAATTCCTCGGTTGGCCTACTAAAATTCTCTGTAGGGAGATGAAAAGGAAGAACAGTTGAGAGTCATTGTGCTATCATTATCCTGATTTTCCAATAAACTTCAAGATGGATCTTGCGAGAGAAAGAGCAGGTAGAGATGTGTGTTGGCGCACTGAGTATTTTGGAATAGCATTTTAAGTAAACTAATATATGAAAACCTAAATGTACTAAAAAATGTTCTGCCACCCCCAAAAGTATTGGGAATAACTATTGGAAGTCTTCCGGAGTAGATGCAGTTTTACAGAAATTTGATTCAAAGATTATCAGTGTGTATCTTATAGTATGTAGTAACATATATTTGTATGCACATTCAAATATCCACACTCAGATGCAAACACGTTCTGTGGGAGACTGTACTCGACTTACAAAATGGTTATCAAAAAGAGATATTTAAAATGGTGAGGTTGATGGGGCACCTGGGTGGCTCAGTCATTAAGCGTCTGCCTTCGGCTCAGGTCATGATCCCAGAGTCCTGGGATCGAGTCTCGCATCAGGCTCCCTGCTCAGTAGGAAGCCTGCTTCTCCCTCTCCCACTCCCAGCTTGTGTTCCCTATCTCGCTGTGTCTCTCTCTATCACATAAATAAAAGAAAAAAAATCTTAAGAAAAAAATAAAAATAAATAAAATGGTGAGATTGGATAGTACACTTGCCTGGTAACTGTCTCCTGGTACTCCAAACTGCATTACTTCCTTATTCCTCCAGTCATTCATGTAACACCATGATATGTGATGTGGAAATATGAAGGTGAACATAGCTAAGTTTCTAATCTCCTGGAGAGATAAGATATGTACACAAAGGGCTACACTTCCAGGCAGTAAACATGCGCCACGTGAGTGGCACAGTGTCAGAGAGTTCGATGTCGATACAGTACAGACCTTTTTTTCACCATAGCCTGTGAAGGCTATAAACGTGAACAGTGCATGCTTCCAACCCCAAGGAGCTTTTAAAATCTTAGAGACAGGTACTGAAGTAATTAGTCATCATGCCAGAGTGTAACAAACAGTAACAACGGAATATGAAGAAGTGATGGTGGGTAGGACTAGGTAGTGCTACTGCATGGCCTACCGAGGAAATGGGTCTGAGCAAGCTGGTGATGGAGCTGAGACATGAGTATTGCCAAGAATCAAGCTGGGAGATAGAGGAGGAGCTACAGTATGGGAGGGAGGGTGATGCATTAAGGTTTAAGGAGGTTGAGTTTGAGGGGGTCTAGAAGACCACCCAATGGGCAATTGGGAATATACCATCTAGAATTAAGAATGAGGTTATGGTTAAAGATTACACACATGCATAAACACACACACACACACACACACACAGGCTGGAGAACAGATGAATAACGCCTGGGGAGAGAGAACCAAGCTAGCAAAGAAGGGGGCTAAGGATGGAACTTGAGGAAAGCTGTCATTGGAGGAGTAGACCCAGGGACCCAAGCTGAGGGCTGACGGGTCAGGGAGGTCAGGTGCGGGGTCAGGAAGAGTTCAGAATGAGGGAGGCCAAGGCAGGGTGGAATACCCAAAAAGGGGCCCGGTGTGAGTGTGTATGAGTGCATTAGGGGTAGGAGAGTGAGGTTCAAGGGCACGACTTGGTCCATGTTCTTTTATGCTTTTTCATTTCCCTTTCTAGGACCTAGCAACTGGGATGACCCTTCTTTCAATCACTCAACCAGGGTCAGCTGAGCGCCCCTAGGTACTGGGCATTGTTCTGGGGAAGATTGCAAAGTGTACAAGATTTCCTGCCTCACAAAGTTTAAATTCCAACAGTGGCAGAGAGACAAGGAACAACAGATAGATAAATTCATAGGATAATATCATAATGTGACTTAGTTGTATGAAGGAAATAAACCCAGTAACAGAGACTCACAAGAAGGTGCAGGGCCAGGGAGGCTTTCTTCAGCTAGACTGAGGTAGAGAAAGTCACCCTGAGCAGGCAACACCTGAGCTGAGGGAGAGAGGAGCCAACAGTGTGTGTGAGGCGCCTGAGGAGAGAGGACAGCGGTCTGAAGCAGAAAGGAGCGCGGCGTGTGTCCCAGTAGTGGAAATGCCAGAAATGCAGCTGGTGTGGCTGAAGCACATTTCAGAACACCGATGAGACCACACAGGTGTGGAAGTCAGGCCCTAAGGGGTTTCCAGTCCCGGATGGGAGGCTGGATTTCGTCGTAAGCTCAGTGGGAAACCAATGAATGTTATGTTTGGGGTTTTTTTAAATTTAATTTAATTTTATTATGTTATGTTAGTAAATGTTGTATGTTTTTAAAAAAATCTTTTTATTTGAAAAGTTTCAAACTTACCAAAAGTTGTAAGAATAAAACTGTGTACTCTTTGAGTTCACCTGTTAACATTTTGCCTCATTTGCCATAACCTTTGTTTTCTCTATATGTACATATTTCTTCTGAAGCATTTGAATGCAAGTTGCACAATTCATGCCCCTTTACCCCAAATACTTTACTCTGTATTTCCTAAGAATGAGATTCTCTTACATAACTAGAGTGCACTTTTCGGCTTCAGAATATTTCACATTGAAATAGGAATTTACCGTCCATATTCCAGTTTTGTCAACTGACTCAATAATGTCCTTTAGCATTTTTTTCTTCCAATATAGGATCCAGTCTAGGATCATGTATTGTATATAGTTGTTGTTGTTTTTTTTAATTTAGGTGAAAGTCATGTACAATTAACCATTTTAATGTTTACAATTCAGTGGCATTTGGTGCATTCACATTGTTTGCAACCAAAACCTCTCTTTAGTTTCAAAACTTTTCTTTCTTTTTTAAATTTTTAAATTTTTTTATTTTTTTTAAAGATTTTATTTATTCATTAGGGAGAGAGAGAGACAGAGGGAGAGAGAAAGAGCATGAGCAGTGGGGAGAGGCAGAGGGAGAAGCCAACTCCTGGCTGAGCCAGGAGCCTGACGTGGGGCTCGATCCCAGGACCTGGAGATCACAACCTGAGCCAAAGGCAGACGCTTAACCATCTGAGCCACCCAGGTGCCCCAAGTTTCAAAATTTTTCAATCACCCCAGAAGATACTGAATGGTTTTAAAGGAGTCACCTGTTTTGAAAAGAGCTCTTAATAGACACTGAATAAATGTTTGTGGAACAAATAAACATGTAACATGTAGGAACAGTATTGCTCAGTAGTATTTATGTTTACAAATTGCCTTTTGTTAATTCATTGGCTAATATTGTAAGGGACTTATCTAAAAATAATGATCTTAGCACGCATTGTCCATCTGATGATCCATTACCCTCCTTAAAACTAATTTAGCCAAGAAAAGCCTTATCTGACTGTTTTTTAATCATGATTACCCAGAAAAAATAATAGCTTTCTTTTAAAAAGCAAACTTATGTCTGTCTCATTTCTCTTCTAGATGTGGCTACTCTGGCCATGTGGTCCTGTGGGCCAGTCATTATACACAGAATGAGAGGCAGCAGATGAAGCCACAGACCGAAACACAGTTCATGGAGGGAAATGGGGCCTCTGCGCTTCATTCAATCATGCAGGAGACACGGGGAGTTTCAGGAAGAAAGAGGAATTTTTTTGTGAAGTTTCCCTTATTATCACCTTTAGGTGATAATTTTCTATCCTGCTATATGTAGAAAACCAGCACCAAAAGCTCCTTTATTACAAATATTCGTCTAAGCATGGCACTGATTTTCCGTCTACAAGCTCACCCTTAAATTTGTCTCAGAGGAAGGAGTTGTTATTCTGCAAGCTTAGCAATATTAATGTGCACAGTGCGTATACCTGTAAAACCCCCATCACTTATTTGAGAACTTCCATTTCTTAGAAAGCTGGAGTAGACATGTTTTTGTCTATTCCTCCTGTTAACTACAACTAAAAACCTTGTCATTATATATAAAGCAAATCTAAGAAGACACTGAAGGTGGAGAGAAGTCAGACTGGCTAGGGACATTGGGACCCAAGGAACAACATAGCAGTGATTTTCCTGAGTTTTCTTTTTGCCTTATATCCCAGACGTGGAGGGAAGAATCTTAACCTAGAAACAGGGTTGCAAACAATAGCCTGCACTTTCTGCCAAAGGACCAGCAAAGGGGCAGCTAGTGAGACAGAAAATTTTTAGACAAAAACCACTTTACTCCAGCTAAACAAAAAAACAAAAAACAAAAACAAATAACTGTAGCCCACACCTGCTCCCACCGGCAAAGGCTGAGGGAGGAGCCTTGGCTTCCATCCCAAAAGCTGAGAGAAAAGAACTGTCAACCCAGAATCCTATATCCAACAAAAATATCCTTCAGGAATGAAGGAGAAATCAAGGTAGTCTCAGATAATGGGAAACTAAGACAATTGGTAGCCAGCAGACCTACCCTTAGAGAATGACTAAAAGACATTCTCTAAACAGAAAAGAAACAATAAAAGAAGAAACAGAACATCAAAAAAGAATAAAGAACAGGATAAGTAAAAATATGGGTAAATATAATAGATTTCCCTTCTCTTAAGTTTTCTAAATTATATTTGCAGTTCAAGCAAAAATTATAACAATTACCTTATGTGGTTCTAAATGTATGCAGATAAAATGTTTACTTATTTTATTATTTTAATTATTATTTTTTTAAAAGATTTTACTTACTTATTTGACAGAGAGAGACACAGCGAGAGAGGGAACACAAGCAGGGGGAGTGGGAGAGGGAGAAGCAGGCTTTCCACCAAGCAGGGAGCCTGATGCGGGGCTTGATCCCAGGACCCTGGGATCATGACCTGAGCCGAAGGCAGACACACTCAACAATTGAGCCACCCAGGTGCCCCTTATTATTATTTTTTAAAGGATTTTATTAATTTATTTGTCAGAGAGAGAGAGAGAGAGCACCAGCAGGGGAAGTGGCAGGCAGAGCAGGCAGAGGGAGAAGCAAGGTTCCGGCTGGGCAAGGAGCTGGATGAGGGACTTGGACCATGACATGAGCCGAAGGCAGCCACTTAACCGACTGAGCCAGCCAGGTGTCCTGCAGAGAAAATATCTATCTATCTATCTATCT